TATAGTAGAAATTAAGGTGGTATGTATAGTTCGTAAAAGAAATCTTTAAGAGATTTTACCTATAAACTATACTAATCCTATTAAAAAGGAATAACATAAAAGATAAATTTTATAAGTTTTACTAATCATACATACTTTCGTAAATTTTCTTAGCTTACACCTATACAAACAATGGTATACATTACTTACGTTTCGGGAATTATGAAACAGCTATAAAGTTAGATGCTATGCCGTAATTATTGTACGTATAGCGCGGATCACAGTACCCATTCTACAGACAAAATTTGTATAGTACCTGGCGTACTATACAAGCGATTTTTCATATGAAAAGTGGATATATCTCCCGAGTATTTTAAATTCCACTATGAAATTTTGTAATGGAGTACTTTGCACGGGGTACCGTAGTCCGCGATATGCGGTCATTCTACAACTTCCGTAATAGAACTCAATAATTCTTCTCCGTATTTCATTACCTAGTGGCACATGACATAATTCTGCAGAGACTGTAATTTAATAAATATCACATGATATGAATGAAACCAAGTACCAAATATCTATAGGGATAATTTCACGAAAAATACGTCGCGTAAGCGAAGGAGTTTTTCCGATAATGTAAATACATAAATGGATTAATTGTAAATTGGAGCGGGATAATATTCGTCGCATAAGCGAAAGGCTTTTTTCCGACCTAAATGTGAATTTGCTAAGGGCGTTCAACAGAGAATCTGATTGGTCCATCTGATAGAAGGACCTAAATAGGAAGTTCCATATGTGGATTGCAGGTTGCAGCGGGATAATGTTACGAAAAAATACGTCGCATAAGCGAAAGGGATTTTTCCGACAATATTGACTGTATAATCTGAAATAAGTATATAGAGACATTTTTTTCTCCTTGAATAATTTCTATGCTTGGTTTCTTATTAGACATTTCAAAATCATCATCCAAGCCAAGTCAGTACAGTTTAGGGGTCTAATCGACTGAAATATCCATATGGTAGATGAGATTCCAATCCCTGATGTAGATGTCATCCCGATTTTTTTATAAGGGATGATAATAAAAATCTGTCCCAAGGTTTTACTTCCTCTTGTTCCTGAGGACATTTGCCGAGACATGACTTCAAAAAGCTACCGATCCGGATTCATGGACTTAAAAGAATAAATGTATGATTAGACCATTCGAAATGGTAGCATCATATGAATTTTTTAAGGTTACTATACGCGATGATAGCAGTTGTGGAAATGAGTTTGGACTATTTCTGGACAAATAAATAAATTAAAATTACTCAAAATTTTATTAACCTATTTTAACTTTTTAAATAAAAATATTCAGCACTATAAAAAACGTATGATCATATATTTTTGAAGCTTGAATATGCTGTGGACATTCTTGGACATGTGGACGTTTGGACATTGGACATGATCAAAAAAATTCTTGGACATAATAGACGTAACAACACTGATTGTAGTAATATTATTGGTGATATCTGTGATAATGAACGGATTAAATATCAAACATGTGATGGTAAAGACGTTTATAAAAGCTCAATCCTATCATGATGACCATGATAAACGAACATGAAAAACAACCACCAAAAAGACTTAGGGACAACTGTCTGCATCTTATAATCGGTAGCTACTAAAGTCCGAATGAGATATCGGATCTTGCGAGTGCGAGTATATTATTATTAGACGGCGATTAGATTTATCCAGAAAGTTGTAACTTGGGTTACCCGCGAGTGAGTCACTCCATTGATCCATTGAGAATTTTAAATATTAAGCTTTACTAATTTACTGCAAATATCTAATTATATATATGGTTATTAATCGCAATTTATTTAGAATAAAAAGTTTTTTATAAGAAAAAGTGCGCAATTGCTCCGTTCTGTACAAAAAGAATCTATTTACCAAAACTTAATGAATACATAAAGAAGAGAGAAATAAAACTTGAATATGTCATCAGAAAAAAGCGGCAAACAGGCTACATTAACATAACAAGTAGAACCAAATGCTCTTCTTTAGAAAGATACAATAGTTCAAGAGTGACGACAAGTCGAATATAGAAGTAGATTTGAACAGAATTTTTAGGTAAATGGGGTTATGGGACTATGGTGAGTAATTTTTTTATAAGAGAGTGTCAAAACTTTTAGGTAAATGGGGTTATGGGATTATGGCGAGTAATTTTTTATAAGGAGAGTGTCAAAATATTAAGCTCTAAATTTAGAAAGATACGATTAGTGAGTTATTCTCCTGGGAACAGTTCTTCAAATTCTCTAAATGCACTAGAAAATCCTGAAAATCCAAGTTCTTCCTCAAATCGAGGCCAATTATATTCGGCGATAGGGGTTTGAGCCGAGAAGGAATCGATTCTATTTGTTACCGATTCGTTTATAAATTTTCCCAAATCGAATCCATTTTTTATTTTTATCCTTAAAATTTTTTCGAATGTATCTATGTACATTGTAAATGTTTAATACTAATCTCGAGAATAATATAAAATATAAATCTTTAATCTCACCTTGATTTATTTCATATTTATTGTCATTAGATTGGTCATTAGGTTGTAAATATATTTTGCCATCCTCCTCTTCAGAAACATCGAGTTCAAGTGGTGGGTCTAGTTGAGTATGAACGTTGAGTCATACAAAAACGACAAAATAAATTATGTTTGTGCGAAAAAAAAGAAATATCTTAAGAGGATACCATCGTTAATTTCTTTGCAGTTCTCGCATTTAAATTGACATATTGACTTTTTTTATAACAATCTATGCATCGGACTAGACAACATGGCTTTGTTTTCTTGATAGCCTTACAATTCGTGCATCTGAACTTTCCCAACGTTATCTCTATATCACACTTTTTCCTTTGCCTATCACAACGAGCGCACCTTTTAGCAAATTTTAGTTCTAACATCAGAATGTTGGTATTTTCTGACATCGTGAGAGAGAAAACGTGGGAATCGTTTTTCTTAGGGATGTTATTAAACGGGTTCATAATTATTGTCTAACTTGCGGTCAAAAACGTCGCCGGTCAAAATTTTCGCAAAATTCTTGTATATTTGGACATTTTGAAACACAAGTCAATTGTTGAGGACACAAATATTACTGATCCTAGAAATCTTGTACCTATAAATATACCTAAAATGCCTAAAAATTTCTCTATTCAATAAAAAATGAATAATCTTACCCCTCCAAGAACTCACATAACAACGGCTTGTTCTTTATGCAAAAGATTAAAGAAAAGATGCGTAACTGATGATTCGTATGAAAAGTGTAGAACGTGCGTGTTAAGAAATCATGAGTGTAGTTTTTCAAAATCCTATCAGAAACGCGGGCCAAAACCGAAGCCAGTTCAAATTCCACTTTCGCAATCGCTTAATACGAAAGTTAGTATTCTTTCAACCTAAATGCATGCCATTTGTCTGAGTTTATGCATATGGTTAGGCCATAAGAATAAAATTTGCGATAATTAAAGGCAAATAAAATAAATACATATTTATACTAATTTCGAATGAAATTTTCTCAAACTATTACTAGTTTCCCAGCGAAACAGCAAAACCAGCCTTATCAAATAAATGTGCAACTTGTTATAAACAAAAAAAGAAATGTACTTACAATGGAATGGCAGGTGAATCCAAATGTGAAAGATGCAAAAAGAGGAAAATCAATTGTTTATTTCAATGCGTAGAATGTAAAGCGAATATAAGCAAAGAAAACCCATTTTCTCGCTGCATAGATTGTAAAGTAATTACGAAAGGTAAAGGATATTTAGTTTTTGTATTATTTTAGTGAAATATTAATTCATTTTTTCAATTAGATCCACCCGACAATGTACCCGTAAATTATCATATTGTTACAGATGTAGAAGCCCGAAAACTTTATCTTCGACATTCTAATTGTAATCATAAGATTGAAATTACTCCCGGTAAGGTTCTATTGATATACCATCGTTTAAAGATTGTACCCGTCAAGAAAATTTCTACCCGGGTATTATTAAATTACCCGGTTATCTGGGTCATTTATTATTATATTATACCATATAATAAAAATGTCTACCCGGGTACAATCTCTACTATCGTTTATAGGAAATATGACCTTCAATACTAAAATCTTGTAAAGCTTTAATAGATACAATGATAAAATCATATAAAGCTGTTGACCCGACCTTCCAGACGACAACTATCACTACAAACGATGAACCTGAAAATTCCAATTATCACAGTCAAAAATACCATGACTCTCACATTGACGTGCTTAATAATTTCACAGCGGCAACATTCAATGATTCGCAGCCTGTGTCCATGATCGATAACTTTTATTTCAACCTTATGAATTTATTGAACATGACAGCGCAAGTACTTTGTCTTTTATCGATTTTTATAATTACTCGAGTACTTTGCCATTTCAATCCCACAACTCAAATTCTAATGATCTTGATCATATGAGCACAATATTAATAAACGGTCTAAATGGATCGGGAATCTTTTAAACTTTTTAGTTTGTTCAAATAGTATTGACTACTTGTTTTACGTCTTAATTTTTTTTAAAAAAACAATAAAATATATATACCGATGTGTCAATTGAAAATCATTGAAAGTCACCTGAAGTCAAAATTAATAGTGCTATTTGAACTTTTAAATGGTAATGCTCTTAATTAATGGTTCGAAATATGTCGCTGATCGCTTCATATCTATTATATTTATGGGAAATTTACAAATAAGGGCCCAAAAACGAAAATAATTACAAATAAAGGCCCCAAATGAAAATAATTACAGATAAATGTCCAATACAATCAGACCTCTCTATAGTCACCTTCTCTATAGTCACATTTGCTTATAATCACATAAATTTTAAAACCAACTTATATAGCACATATAAAATTTAAGGGCCCAAATATACTGTCAAAATTACTAGCCGATTTAAATGTAATGGTATCATGATTAATTGCTTCATTTTGTGATTAAATAGATGTTTTATAGTTATAGCTCATTATTCAGAATTAAAAAACAAAATCCAACTGACTGACAGATTTTTGAAATGTGTACCTAATAGCTTTACTTCTCCAAGCTACAGTGTATGATGTCTCAGCCCCCATTTCAGAATAAACACGATTATAATATCACAAGGTCGAAGTATTGCTATATCTTTAATTAATGATGCAGTAAATTTTACAAGATATGATCCATGTGTTTTGAATGCTTCCATAGAAGTTGAACAAGTTAAACAAGTTTGATTATTAGGAATCAGTCTTAATATATGAATATAGTCATAGTAAAAGGGTATGGACTGGTTTTATTTATAAAACAAATAGCCAACAGATTATTTTTTTATAATTTGGCTGCCTGCTGTAGTTTATTTAAGATTGAGATTATTTGACAAATTACAAGAATTTATCTCTTAGCTATACTAATCCACCCAAACACAGCTTACCAAGCTTTTATTCAATGTGACCTGCCTCAGTAGTTATTGACCTCAATCTGGATTCTTAACTTGCTAAGGACATTGTTTTCTTCAATCCTTGATGGTGACTACAAGCTATTTGTTTTTTTTTTTGATATTAAGGTGACCTCTCAACTATCTTCTTTTATTCAGTTATTAGTTAACTTTACCATATGGGGATGAATCAATAGAAATCAAGTAAATTATTTTTATTAAATTTTTTTTAAGCTTTATATATTAATAACTTAACTAAAACTTGATCAAATTTAATAAAAATTTTTTTAAACAAATTTTATAAGTTTGTAGAATTTATTTAAAAAAATTTTTATTAAATTTGATTAAGTTTTTATTGAGTTATTATTGTTTAAAGTTTAAAAAAAATTTACTTAGAAAAAATTTGCTTGATTTCTATTGACTTAACTTCATATGCTAAGCTCCCATTGTGGGCCCATACAGTATATATATTTGGAGAGTATATACTAGCTACACATACAACTTTGATTAGCTATTTAAGTAGTTTGCTTATTACTAAGTTCTATACTAAATATCATATCTATAATCCAACTAGGGAGTTACCTATTTAAACCCTTTGCATCTATAGAGTTAATCTTTATAACCGAGCAAGAATTTATTTGAACTTCTTATTTTTAGATACTCAGCTTAGGATTTTAAAGCAGGTTTCAACTATTTTAGAGAGCTCTTTATTTTTAAGATAAACCTGCTAGAGCTTTCTATACCTACAATCTAGCTAATCTAGACTTTGGTAACTTATGCTAAGTCTGAGAACAAATACTTGTGAGCCAAGACTACTACCATTACCTACTTCTGCCCTTGTAGAGTTTACTCAGACCCCAGTACACACTTTACAAACTATCACTAATTTTAATCTCAACAATCTCAAACTACCAATTCAGATGATCTGAAAAGGTTGTGCCCTGCTTTTGGTCCCTACAGTTAGGTTCTTTTCTTCTGGTACTTCTCCGATAGCCTGGTTGGTTGAGTGCCTTGTCAAACACTTCGGTCTTATTCAGTTTTGCCAGTTCTCTTAATGACAATCTTTAAGTAGTATTATCAAAGATCTGTATTATCTTTCTATTTGATTTTGCTAAGCAAGCATCCATCATTCTTTACGGTTTCTTGAGTTAATACGATCTGAAAGCTTATTTATATTACTTATATATTATACAAATGCCTTATGATCTTTCAATCTTGTTGGTATCACCAAGATTACAGAAAACCTGTTCTAACTAGTCAACGGATGATAGTAGCTATTGTATAGATAGAATTTTTGAAATTTGTTGCTAGTAGGTTTCGAACTTCTACCTAGCCAACATATTACTTAAAGGTATGACAACTTAACTACTTTACTAAGTTACTACATCCTATTACAAGCCATTCGTATCGATATTAATTTTTTTTTTAATAAAGAAATACAAACACAAATTCAAAAAGTATAAAAAA